TTTTTACCCTGAAATTGGGTTGTAAGTTGATTGACCTGAAGATAAGGGCATGGTTGGGCATTTCCTCAGCTCGTGGGGGCCGGCTCTGGATGAGGCCTGCGTCAGGGTCTGGAGCCCCGCCTGCTCCATCTACCAGTCTCCTGACCCTTTGCAGGCAGTCAGCTATCTCTGCTTAAATGCCTCCAGTGACGGGGAGCTCATTACTCCATGAAGAAGTCGGCTCCATTTCTGACACCTCTGACTATTGGAATTATTTTTTCTGCTGACCTGGGGTCCGTCTCTCCCTTGTCCCTCCAGCACATGGACGAGGTCGCCCTGGGTGCCTCAGAGCTAAAAAGCCCCAGAACTGTACCGTGGCACTGACCCTACAGGGGACATCTCCCAGTGACTCAGTCAACTCTTCCTTCATCTGTCAAAGGGGCTCTTCCTTCCTTTTCTTTCTGGCGAACATTAAATGATGAAATGATCTGCTGTGTACGAAGGCACTTGCTAGCAATAAAGCAGCTAATGTTATTTTCCGCATTGGCCTAGGTGGGAGCTGTGGGGCCGCACGGACATTGGGGGTGTGTGTTGAGGGCCACCAGACACTGTAGCTCTTGGACCTCCTAAAGCAGCAGGTTGTTGAGATACTCAGATACCCGAGAGACAAGATCTTTCCCAGTGAGTGTCCTGTTCAAATGCATTTCAGGAGCTAAGAGGCCCAGTGGGGAGACGGGCTACGGTCTCCCACTGCCACCCCGAGTCTCCATCCAGGAAAGGACAGGGCGGAGAGTCCCTATGGGGGGCTGCACCAACCCCCTTTGTCTGCTCGGTCTGGAGAACAGGAGCTGCCTCCCCAAAACCAGCTCACGCCCAGAACCCTGTCCCTCCGGGTCCACTCACCGATGTCTTTGGCTCTGACAGCCACTGGCCTCCGGAGCTCAGTGACAAACTTCTTGGCGTCCAGGCGGATCTCGATGATGTTGTTGAGCAGAGCGAACAGCGGGGCCAGAGGGAAGGACGCGACAAACAAGGTGACAAACCCAAACTGGATGACTGTAAGACAGGGCCCGGTCAGCGTCGCCGCCGCCTAGCACGCCAAGGGCGGCCGGCCTGACTCCCATCGGCCTTGGGTGCGTCCACCTGCACAGACACACCTGCAGGCGCCCAGAAGGGGGCTGGCGGGGTGGACGCCCGGCCCCGGGGGATCAGGCCAGGCGTGGGGTGGAGAGAGAACTCCGAGTTGGCTCTGACCTGCGTGGGATGTGGCCCCGTGTGTGCAGAGTAGAACCGCTCCATAGGGTTTTCAAGGCTGTGACCTTTCAGAAGCAGATCGCCAGGCCTGTCTTCCGAGGCGCCTTTGGGTGAGTTTGAACCACCCATCTTTCAGCTAGTACTGCAGCTGTTGGAGCTGTTCACGGACTCCCCGACTCTTGTGTCAGGCGATGTATTCGTTTGTCACGTGTCTTAATAAAAACCATCGACAATGGAAAAAAGACCCCCGTGAGCTCGAAGGCACAGCTGCGTGCCTTCCTGTGGCTGGGTCCAGCAGGGGCTTGGGTGTGGTGTCAATCGAGACCGGGGGGTCTGACATCATCACTGCTGCGTCAAAAGCCTCAAACGTCCCACAGTCCAGGGCAGTTCTGCCTCGTACCCCCAGCCCCCTCTGCCTCACTGTCCCTGGTCAGCGAGCCAGCTTGGGGCTTCCTGGGCTTTGGAATCTGGAGCTGGAGCGCCAGGCTCTGAGGAGGGGTCAG